CCCGCTGCTGACATGGCCTCTCAGGGAGGGGCTGCGTGGGTCCTTCTAGCCCCGCCGTCCCACAGCCAGATCATGACTCACCCTCCTGAGCCTCTTGCCTCAGTCTGTCAACTGGGCGGGTCCCGCCCTGCTTGCCTCACAGGGTGGCACCAGCGTTCCCGTGAGACACGGGCGTGTTTGTCAATGGCGAACTGTGTTTCCAGCGGCAGATGCTGCTGCTGCTTGCCCAGCTCCTGCGCGGAAGATTCCTCCGCCCACAGGGCCTCCGTCTGGGGTGGGGAGTGTGTGGAGGTGAGGCCCATTCTGAGGCGATGCTGGAGGCGTGGGCTCCTCCGCCCTCATCCTTTGCAGGGCGGGGCCCAGGGTCCGGTGGGGGTGGTAGGGGACTCGGCCATCCGGCTCAGGAGGCGGCTAAGAGAGTGAGGGGAGAAGGGAGGCGAAACCACTGGCCAAAGCCTGAGGCTAGAACAGTGTCCTTTGTGCAAGGAAATGCCCTCTCGCCCTGGCCAGTTTGCTCAGTGGTTAGAGTGCCAGCCCTCGGACCAAAGGGTCTCAGGTTCGATTCCCAGTCAAGGGCATGTACCTGGGTTGCAGGTTCCATCCCTAGCCCGGGTCGGGGCATGTGTGGGAGGCAACCAGTTGATGTGTCTCTCTCAGATTGATGCTTCACTCTCTCCCTCTCCTCCCTCCCTTTCATTCTCTCTAAACATAAAAAAGGAAATGTCGCCTGGCCGGCGTGGCTCAGTGGTTGAGTATTGACCTATGAGCCAGGAGGTCATGGTTTGATTCCCGGTCAGGGCACATACCCGGGTTGCAGGCTCAACCCCCAGTAGCGGGGTGTGCAGGAGGCAGTGGATCCATGATTCTCTCTCATCACTGATGTTTCTATCTCTCTCTCCCTCACCCTTACTCTCTGAAATCAATAAAAAATATATAACAACAACAAAAAAGGGAATGTCATCTCACATTCCATGCTCGTGGCATGTCTCTGGGCCACACCTCGCGCACAGCCGGGAGGGCCCTCCCCGGGAGGAAGCCGGGATCGCATCTCCCAGGTGTGGGGATTCCTGTTGGGTGCCAGCTGGGGCTGGGCAGCTACTTGGGAGCCATTGCAGACCCTCCAGCTTTGGGGGACCCCTGGAGAGCCCAGAGGGTAGAAGGCAGGAGTGAAAGAAGGGAATTGCTGTTGGGTTGCCAGAAGGCCACCCCATCTTTTCTTCCAAGCTGTGCCTGGGGACCAAGATGCCGGGTGGCCCCCTTTGGGTTCAAGCACTTGGATTTGGGGTCCATGGAGACCCAGGGGCTACTCCACGGGGGCAGGGATATGGGAGTGGGGCTACAGTAGGACCTCTGCGAGGAACCCCTGATCAGAGGTCTCCCCCGCTCTTTAAAAAAATATATATTTTATTGATTTTTTACAGAGAGGAAAGGAGCGGGATAGAGAGTTAGAAACATCAATGGGAAACACTGATAGGCTGCCTCCTGCACGCCCCCTACTGGGATTCGAGCTCACAACCAAGGTCCATGCCCTTGTCCGGAATTGAACCTGGGACCCTTCAGTCCTCAGGCCGACGCTCTACCCACTGGGCAAACCGGCTGGGGCCGAGGTCTCCCTTTTCATTCCCCTCCCCCAATCTAGCCCAAGGCCTGCAGTTTCGCATTAGGGAGCCACAGGCCAGAGAAGCAGAGGACTGGCCCCAGGTCGCACCGAGCACAGGAGCGGAACCGGGGCCTCCGTCCTAGCCCCGCGCTCGTTGCCAGGCCTCGGAGCTGGACTTTGCCGGGGACGGCTTTCCCGAGGGGAGCGTGGATGTGGATGAAGCCGGTGTGCAGCAATGGCCTGTGGGCCGCAGCCGTCAGATGGGCTCCGAGGAGAGGGGGCGAGGCCTGGCTCACCCGCGAGGAGGATGAGGATCAGTGGGGACAGCGTGGCCGCCTCTCCTGTCTCACGTGCTGAGCCTTCCTGGGTCCCCATCGCTCCCCTCCCTCCGTCCTCGCGACGCGCTGTGAAGGCTCTTGCTGCCGCCCTCCGCGTTAGACCTGGTCATTCAGTTGGTAAACGTTCTCTGAGCCAGTGCTCTCTGCCCGGCCTGTGCCTCCGTCCCGGGACCCAGAGGTGAGCCGGCAGACTGGCCCTGCCCCTCTGGGCCACCGTCTGATGAGGGAGGCAGCATGGTGGCTGCCTGGCGGGGAAACAGCTGCATGAGCTGGGACCGGCTGCTTCTCCTCTCTGGGCCTCCATTTCTCCCTAATATTTATAAAGGGCTCTGAACAGAGCCAGGCACGTTGAAAGTGCAATATGTGTGTGTGTGCGTGTGCACGCGTGCGATTAGGGTTATCAAAAGGGACAGCTAATTGTAGGTTGTGAGCCAGTGCTACCCAGGAGGGAGGTAAAAGGGGAGGAGGGGGAGCTTTTCCGAGAGCTGGAAATGCTTTCTGTCAGATGGGGGTGTGGGTTCCAGGGGTGTGTGCAGTTGTCAGAATTCATTGAACTGGTAATAAAAAGAACAACAGAATACCCCCTAGAACTGGACTCTTGGAATTGGTGCGTTTTGCTGTACGTAAAGTATACCTCAGTAAACAATGTACATCAAGGAAGACAAAGAAAGGGTGGAGAGGAAACGAGGGACCCTTGAGACCCTCTTTAGACAGCGTAGTCAGGGAGGGCTTCCGAGAGGAGGTGACACTGGAAGGATGCCTAGAAGAGAAGAAGTCTCTGGCTGTGGGGAAGGGAGAGGAGGAAGCTGAGGCTCTAAGACGTTTGGGACCACACTCCGTGGAGGGGTGAAGAGTGGCAGCCGGGAGATTTGTGGGCAGCTGGGCCCGGGTGGGCCTTGCAGAGAGGCCGGTGGTGGCACCTGCGTTTTCTAGGGTCAGTGTCTCCCTGCTCCTGGGCCTGTTCTCGGGGCCTTGGCACTCAAAGAAGCCCTATTTTAACTTGTGTGGGAAATGAGTCCCTAAATATGCACTGAGTGGGGCGGGAGGCATCGGGAAGCTGTGGCTCAGGCAGCTCCGCCTTCCTCCACTTCAGTGAGCACAGGGTGCAGGCTGGCTGTGAAGCTCTCTGCCAGCCTCCTCTCCCCTCCGAGACCTCAGGCCCCCTCCCGCCCCCTCGTTCGGGAGCCCAGTGTTTGGGGACAGGCCCCTGCCTGGGATCCCCAGCTTTACAGACCTGCCTCTGCCCTCAAGCTGCTTCGGCCTGGTGGGAGGGACCGAGGCACAGACCATGGGGCAGGTGCTGGGAGGACTCCAGAGGAGGAGGCGCCTGAGCTGAGCCCAGGAGGGAGTTGACCGACGGAGAAGGAGAGGGCCAGAGTGCGGCCTGTGTGGGACCAGCAAGTGCATCCTCTGGCTAGAACCCCACCTCCCGCAGCTGGGGTCCTCTCTGCCCCCGACTCTATTTCCAGGTCCACAACCCTGTGCCATCCCGTGTGTGGCCCTGGCCTGGGGCCAGAGGAAGAGGAGTGAGGTGGGAGAGGAAGGCGAGCCCTGGGCGCCAAGGGGACAAGGATAGGGGTGGATTTAGAGCGGGGAGAAGTGAAGGGCCAGGTGGGGCCAGGTGGGGCTGAGGACAGCACAGAAAGTGTTCCAGCTGTGGGCTTGGGAGTTTTTAGAGAAGAGAGGGGGCTTTGGTGGAGGTAGAGATGCCAGAGTGAGGCAGAATGAGGAGGGGTCCAGGAGCCAGCCTGGGGTCCCAGCAGGACAGGGTCAGGTCAGGCAGGAGGCCAAGGAGGAAAGGGGTGCAGAGAGAGAGCAGGGAAGGAGGATGGTGTGTCTCGGGTCCTCTGGCTAAGGACTGGCGTGCCCCTCGCTAGAGCCACCTCGGGACACAGTCGGGGCTGATGTGGGGAGTGGGACGGCCAAGCCTCTGCCCCCAGCACCGTGAGCAAGAAGCTGGTCGGTGGGGCTGTGTGGGCACAGCATGGAGGGGCTCTGTGAGCTCAGGGCAGCAGGAGCAAGAGGCCCCTGGCTCCCAGGCTGGGCAGTGGAGCAGGGCCCCCAGAGCTGGAGCTCCCTGCCCCACCAGGCTAGAGGCGAGGTGAGCTGCTCTAGAAATGAAGGGGCAGCCAAGGGGCAGCCAATGCCGCACCCACCGCCTCCCTCCCACTCGAACCTAGAGCGCTCGGGCCCAGAGCCTGCCCGGCACCGTGTGCAGCAGAGGAGGAGACCACGGCTGGGGTGGCCCAGGTCCTGTGGGTGCCAAGCAAGGCAGGGCTGACCTGAACCCCAGCCTTGGGCTCCCACCCGGGTCCTCAGCCCCGCTGAGCTGGAAACCCAGCCTTGCGGTGTGGGGTGTGGGGTGTGGGGGAGGGCCCGTTGCTGCTCTCCCCATCCCGGCCACGGCGCCCGGCAGCCGACTTCTCCCCACTCCAGGCCACGCTCATTTCCAGCGACTGGCCTTCTGGTGGCAGCCATCGCCCAGGGCTGAGCGAGCCTGAGTGAGGATCCCTGCGCCGCCCACCGCTTCCTGCCTTGGGTGCTGCATCCTGTGGGGATGACTCTGCCATCACTTCGTTTTGCAGAGTTGTGGGCTGCGGCTGGGAGCTGGGAAAGCTTGCCTGAGGCCACACTGAGTCATGGGAGAAATTTAGCCCCAAACCCGGACTGCACCCCACCGGGCCGTCACCTCCCTCAGCTGGGGTCATCTCTGCCCCCAGACTCTTTCTGGGTCCACAACCCTGTGCCATCCCATGTGTGGCCCTGGCCTGGGCCCCACAGCCCATGTTCCATTGGACTTGAAACCCGTTCCATTTCCACTTCACTTGCCGCTCTGAGAAGGGAGGCGGGGGCTGCCCCTCCCAGGGCCTTCCTGGGCCCCAGCCAAGCTGCTTGAGGCTGACCTCACCCCCTGGAGCCTGCACCAGGGAAACCCCGATTCAAACCCTCTCTGTGTCCTCCATACGCTGGGCTCCCGCGGGCAGGTCCCTCTCTGCGGGGTGCAGGGGGCAGTGGCTCTGTCTCGGGTGCCGCGAGCCTGACGCTGTCTGTGCTGCCTCCAGGTCCTGTACGACAGCCCCAAGGCCCGGCAGGAGGTGGAGCAGCACTGGCAGGCGTCGGGCGGCCCCCACATTGTGCGCATCCTCGACGTGTACGAGAACATGCACCGCAACAAGCGCTGTCTGCTCATCATCATGGAGTGGTGCGGCCCCTGCCTCACTGGGACCCCGTGGTTCCCGGGACTCCTGGGGAGGGTCTGAGCTCACCACCCTCCCCTCCTTCTAAGAGTTCAGTTCAACCCACTCAAGCTCAGGCTGTTCGAGGCCCAGGGAACTGCCAGTCACTGTTCCCAGGGAAGAGCAGAGGGCCTGAGCCTATGGCTGGGGCAGGGGCAGGGGCAGGGGCAGGCTGGCGCCCGGTCATCCCGCCCCGCTCACAGCTGCCTTCTCTTACAGCATGGAGGGTGGTGAGTTGTTCAGCAGGATTCAGGAGCGTGGCGACCAGGCTTTCACTGAGAGAGGTACATGCTGCAGCTGGGTCACGGGGCGGGGTGAGGGGGCGCAGAGGGGGATTCGGACTGAGAGGGATCACATAGAGTTGCTGTGTGATGCTGGGCAAGGCCCTGCTCCTCTCTGTGCCTCAGTCTCCCCAGCTGAACAAGAGGGTGAGACAGTGTCCCTGCCCCAGGGAGTCCTGGGGGTGTGTAGCACCTGTTGGGCTCTCCGTGGCCTGGGGTGGAGGTAGCCCAGGCCTGAGGAAAGGGCTAAGGCATCCCCAGAGGAAATTAGGGTGACTGGGTAGGTGTATGGGATGGGGTTCTGGGGTGCAGGAGTCCTGTCACCATCTGGTGCTGTCCCAGGGGGGTAACAGGGTGGGGACCCCAGGCTGCCTGGCCTCTGACTGGCATCACTCAACCTCCTGTGTCTGCAGAAGCTGCAGAGATCATGCGTGATATTGGCACCGCCATCCAGTTCCTGCACAGCCAGAATATCGCCCACCGAGACGTCAAGGTGAGGCTCCAGGACCCGAGTTGGGGGGCCAAAGGGGGAAGTGTGAGTCACAACCCCCAGTGGCTCCCAGCACCCGGTGCATGGAGGCCGAGTCCTTCAAGGGCTCTGCTCCTGGCCCAGGCTGGTCTTCCAGTCTCTTCTCCCCTGGCTCCAGCTTACTTGTGCTGCTGCGGCCACACAGGATGCCTTCAAACTGTGACCCAGTAGCTGCAAGCCTAGCTGAGTGCCTGCTTGAAGCCAGGAGGCCCCGGCAAGCATCTCGTTTAACCCTCACCTAACCCTGTGAGTTTAGGGGCCAGTGCCCATTTGACAGATGAGAAAACTGAGGCTTGGGGAGAGATTGTCATGCCCAAGGCCATGAAGTTGCCACACGGGTTGGTTCATTCATTTTATTCAGCAAGGAATTTTGTGAACACGTCCTGTGCTGGGCCTCAGGCAGGCCTGCCTGACACCGTTGGGGCTTCTGTGAGGTGACAGCCATAGTTTCGAGGCCGAGCCCTCTAATGACAGCCTTTTCAGGGAAAGAAGCCATTCGCTAGGCGGCGAGGAGGAAGGAGCCGCAGTGGGTCCAGTTGCCAGGGCTGCTAGCTCTTTCCGTGGACGGCTTCACCCACCGCGGTCCTCCTGCCTTCCTCTCCAGGGGGGACTGGGTCTTAGAGATCATGATCAGGCCGATGGAATGCAAACTGCAGCCACCCTGCACGAGCCTGCCCAGGCCCAGAGCTTAGCCTCCCGAGGCCTATTCCCTCCCTGGGCCAGGGCGCTGCGGTCCAGCTGCGGTCCAGCTGCTGCATCCGGGCCTTCCTCTGGCCGGTACTGCCACCCCCCCCCCCCCCCCCCCAGTTCTCCTAGGACTCTGGCTCCACCTGCAGCCCTCTGCGAGCCCTTGCTTTGCTTTGGCGCTGGCTTCCTTTTTCCCGAGGGGAGGAAAACCTCCCCTTGTGTAGACAAAACCTGCTTCCCCGGAAAACCTCCCCTTGTGTAGACAAAACCTGCTTCCCCGTTTGATCCCAATCCAAGGTCGGGTCATCTCACTCGAACCCGGGAAAGAGCTTTCCCTGGCTCGACACTGGCGCCTCACCCCCCACCCTGCCTCCTCTCCTCACGGGCCTGGCTCCTCCTGCACCAGCTGGGGTGAGAGAGGGAGGAAGTCTGGCGAAAGGTCACCTTGGGACTCTGTCCCCACCTGGTGCCTCGCTCCAGACCCATGCCTTCTCTGCCTGGCCCAGCCCGAAAACCTGCTCTACACGTCCAAGGAGAGAGACGCGGTGCTCAAGCTCACCGACTTCGGCTTTGCCAAGGAGACCACCCAGAATGCCCTGCAGACACCCTGCTACACTCCCTATTACGTGGGTGAGTCCTCGGGCACGGCGTGCCCCCCCCTTCCCACACCGCACCCTGCCATGGCGTGGGGCGCGGGTGGGTTGCAGAAGCCAAAGGGTTAAAGCCCGGCGGCGAGGGAGGGGCACTCTGTGTGTGTGGAGGCAGTGAGGTGGGGGGCCGGAGGCTGCAAAAATATTCTTCCGAACTTCAGCTTCTGCTTTTGAAAATAGATCCAGGAAAATTCTGGCTGTGGCCTGTGAGCCAGATGACATCACAGCAGCTCTAAATATATACGTGATAAAGTCTGCTCAGCCCGGCAGAGCCCAGCGCGGCGGGTTTTCTCTCTCCGGTGTTTATCTTCCTGGGACTCAGATGCGGGAAGCGGGCAGGCCTGCCCTCCTACAGGAGGGGCGCGGGCTCCAGCCGCCTCTGTGGCGGGAGGGCACCTGGGGGCACACACTCGTGCTTCCTGGAAAGTTCCTCGCTGCCTGTGAACAGGCAGCCCTCAGATCCGGAGGCCTCCCTGCTGAAGGTGCCCCACAGGGGCGATGCTGCCTTCGCCCGAGGGCTCTCCTCCCCCAGGAGCCTTCCGGGAGCTGTGAGGGGCGCCAAGCCCCCGAGATGGCTGACAGGGCCCTCTGTGTGTCAGGACCTGGGTGCAGTCTTTCAACTTCAATCTTCTGGCCGACCCATCCCATCGCCCTGGAGGGAAGACCCAGGCCCACGGATGGTGGCCAAGCGGACAGTGGGGTCCAGAGCCCTGCCCCACCCCTCCTGCCCTGTGTGTCAGGGAGGCAGGGGACACAGGGCACCTGGGGCTGAGGCCCTCGCATCTGTGACTGGACCTGGCTGAGCCCCAGGCCGGCCTTTCTCTCCTCTCCCCGCCATGGCTGAGCCCGGCCCGATGGAGCTGGGAGGCTCCTTCCTCACGCCCAGCCTGGATGCGGTTTGCTTCTTAGGGGAGCTGCGTTTCCTCCCCCAACTTCACACACATGCTGCCTTCCCAGACGGTGCCAGACACCAGTCTGCTCAGCCCCGCTCCCTCGCCTGGCTCCTGCTCCCCACCTGCCCGGGCTTCAGGCTCCCGCCTGGGCTCCCAGACCCTCGGGGCTGAGACCCTCCTGTGCCCTCTGCCCTGTAGCTCCTGAGGTCCTGGGTCCGGAGAAGTATGACAAGTCATGTGACATGTGGTCCCTGGGCGTCATCATGTACATCCTGTGAGTACAACCGTCTCCGCCTCCTGCACCCCATGTACCCTCAGAACCACAGGCTGCCCTTCCCCCGGTCATGGGACGCCCCTCCTCCGGGCTGCCTGAGGCCTGTCCACACCAAGGGCAGAAACTCCTGGGGGGGTGGGGGGCGGGGGGACGGGCAGAGGGCTGGCATTGTTGCCAGGGTGTCCGGCTGCCTGTCTCCCCAGTTAGGAGCCGGGGGAGGAGAAAGGTCCGCCCTGGCACTGCCCCCACCGGTGCCAACGCCCTCCGCCCTCCGCAGCCTGTGCGGCTTCCCGCCCTTCTACTCCAACACGGGCCAGGCCATCTCCCCGGGCATGAAGCGCAGGATCCGCCTGGGCCAGTACGGCTTCCCCACCCCCGAGTGGTCAGAGGTCTCCGAGGACGGTGAGTGAGCCTCTGCGCCGGACCCTCAGCCTTCACCCTGCAGACCCCACTCAGGGGTCAGACCCCCCTGTGTGCAAGGGCTGGCTCCCCTGCCTGCCAGCTGTGTGCCCCGAGGCAGGTCACCGACTCTTTTGAACTGCGGTTTCTCTCTCTGTCGGATAGGCTCAGCATTTGCCTCCTTGCAGCTCCCTCTAACGCCCGGGCCCCATCCCTACCCCCCTGCGGGGACCACGGGAGGCCTGCCTAGGTCCGTCTCCCGCTGCTGCTCAGCACATGGCCCTGGACCCCGGCAGGCTGACAGCGTGGGTTAGGAGTCTGGAAGCTTGTGGTGTCTGGGGCGTGATGGGGGGCTGTGCCCTCACCCCTCCCTCACATCCTAGCCAAGCAGCTGATTCGCCTCCTGCTGAAGACGGACCCCACGGAGCGCCTGACCATCACGCAGTTCATGAACCACCCCTGGATCAACGTGAGTGCCGCTGTGGTGGGCAGGGTGGCCAGCAGCGCTGCCAGGCAGGCGGGCGATGGCTCGGGGGGCCTTGGCATGAGCCACAGATGTGTGGCAGTGCCCCGCCTACAACCTCACCTTGCCGCTGCCCCCCGCCAGGCTCCTTCAGCTCCCTGAGCCTTGGTTTCCCCATCTGAGCCTGGGAGAAGGGGTGGGGGGAGCCAGTGATGTGCCTGCCACCGGGTGCCCGCAGGCTCTAACCCACGGGCACGGGCCCCTTCCAGCAATCCACGGTGGTGCCGCAGACCCCGCTGCACACGGCCCGAGTGCTGCAGGAGGACAGGGACCACTGGGATGACGTCAAGGTGGGTGAACGCGGCCTCGCTCTCCCTGCAGGTCCCAGGGCTTTGGAAGAAGGGACTCCAGGGTGATGGCTGCTCAGAGTCTGGGTCTTTGGCACTGGCCCCGTCCATGGAGCACCATGTCTCCGTGACTGCACCAGCGGTCCCCCCACGGCACATGGCGCTGCACTGCCCCCTCCTGGGCGGAGCGCCTGGCTCACTCCCTCACCCAGGGGGCTTTGGCCGTACCCGTCTTACGATCTACACCACTGGGGGGTGTTCAGCCTGGTTTTAGACGCAGCAGAGGCCAGGTTGGAGCAGATGGGGCAGCAGCTGAGAACCCCCGACTCCCCGGGCACAGCCTTCAGGCCCCAGTGCCTGCGTGTCCAGTAAGATAGTGTCCCTGGCGGCCTCGTGGTTCTGAGCCCGTGACACGGTGCGGGTCCCTGTCCTGCTCTCCCGGGCGTGGGCCCAGGGAGTCATTAGGCACTTCCTGCGCCTTCTCGGGGGAGCATCGGGTCCACCACAGAGGACCGTGGGGAGGACCGTGTGATGCGCACAGACAGGCCTCGTGCTGGGCACACAGTAGGTCCTTGGGCAGCAGAGGTGTCATCGCCTTCGCTGACTTTACGAAGGGGCCACCAGGCGGGAGGGTGCTGGCCGTGGAGGTCGGTTCATCCTGACGTCTGTCCCAGGAGGAGATGACCAGTGCCCTGGCGACCATGCGCGTGGACTACGACCAGGTGAAGATCAAGGACCTGAAGACCTCGAACAACCGGCTCCTGAACAAGCGAAGGAAGAAGCAGGCGGGCTCCTCGGCCTCGCAGGGCTGCAACAACCAGTAGCTCCCGGGCCTCGGAGCCTGCGGGACAGACTGCAGGGGCTGAGGCCCGACACAGAGGGCCCAGGTCATTTTTTTTAAAACACAAGGACTATTTTGCTGTTTTAATTTGCCACTTGGAACTTTAGGAGGGGGGACCGTGGCCCCAACCTCCTGCAGCCCCAGTGCAGGCCCTGGCCTGAGAGGGCAGAGCCTGGGGCCGGGGAGCCACCCTGCTGCCGCAGTGCCTTCTCTCTGATGCCCTGCCCTGGCCGTGCCTTAGACTTCTAGGCCATGGGAGTTGTGGCTGGGCTTCCCTCCTACTATGAAAATGCCCCCCTGTGGTGTGGGCAGATGGGCCTGGCCTTGGGAAAGGCATCTGGCCATTGGTTGCCATGGTGACCAGGGACAGAGTTGCTGTCTGTGAATGCTGTGAGTGAGTGCACAAGGGAGGGAGAAGGGGCAATTGAGGGTCGGTCTGCCTTTGCCTTCGGGGGAGGCTGTCTTTCTCCCACGCCTGCCCCCTCACTCTCCGCCTCTCTGGTCTCCCAGAGGCCGCAGGCTCAGCCAGCCTGCCTCCCGGGGTGGTCCCCGTCTTGCACCCCAATCCCACAGGGCCCTTGGGGCTCCTCCTTCCCAGGCCCTGGCCCAGCCCTCCCGTTACCCCCCTCCCCAAGGAGTGGCCTCTCATCTCAGCGGAGGGTGGGAGGTATTTTTAACACTTTTCTACTTTGGAAAATGTCACTGTGACAAAAGCCAGTTCCTCTGCTCCCGGGATCCCAGGCCGGAGAGCCTCTCCCCATGATGGTTCATTCTCCGCCTGCCCTGGGGGCTCGGGGCCTGCAGTGGGAGTGGATGGCTGCGGGCGGGGCCAGGAGGCTCCCTGTTCTCATCAGGGGTCTCTCTCTCTCTCTCTCTCTCTCTCTCTCTCTCTCTCTCTCTTTTTTATTTTTCCTAGAGAGAGTGGAAGGGAGGGTAGCGGGAGAGAAAGAAACATCAATGTGAGAGAGACACATCGATGGGTTGCCTCCCCCATGTACCCTAACCAGGGCAGGGATAGAGCCTGCAACCGAGGTACGTGCCCTTGATCAGAATCAAACCGGGGACCCTTCAGTCCTCCAGCCGACGCTCTATGCACTGAGCCAAACTGGCCAGGGCTCAGGGGCCTCTTTTTACCCTCATCAGACCCGAGGTGGTGGGAGGCTGCTGAGTGACGCTTTGAAAGCCTGGTCCCGGCCCGCGCCGGAGCGAGAGCATTCCTCCAGGCTCACCCAGCGCCACGTGCCCCCGATCGGGTCTGCCAAGTGCCTGACACCCAGCCTGGTTCCCGGCGCCTCACCCTTTACTGGCGGGGAACCCCTAGACCATGCCCATGGGAAAGCACTGCTGGGTGGTCGGACGAATAAACACCATTTGGCATTTCCCCCTGGCTCCTGGCTTCTCTTCGTCTGTATGAGTGGACAAAAGTGGCCAAGGGCAGCCACTCGCACCCACGAGTGATTTTACACTCATTGGAGAGGGTGCCTCGGACCGATGAGCGGGCCGGGTGGCTGGAGGGCCTCTGTGCCTCCCCCTCCCACCCCCCCACCCCCAGGCACGGGAAGGTCAGAAGAGAGGAGGACGGCAGCCGCCCCCCACCCCCGCTCTGTGCCGCTGTGCACTGTGTGTGTGACACCCACCCCCGGCCCCGTGTGCGCCAGCGTCTGCCCACAGCGGCCGCCTCCAGCTGTGTGCCAGCCTGCTGAAGGGCAGGCACGGTGCCTGCTGCAGCGCTGAGCTATTTTCAGAAGCTGCCAGATTTCATTTGGCAGCGAGAATGTTGGGGAGGGGAGGGGGCGGGACGCTGGAGACTGCCTTTTGACAATGACTCCAGCAGCGGGAGCACCCTCAACCCTGAGGGGCCCTGTGGGCAGCCTCGAGGGGGGCCCTGACTGTGGCATATCCCCCTCCCCCACCCCGCTCCTATCCTGAAACCTCCCATATTTCGAGGGCTCATGGGCTCCGCAGTAGCTCGCCGCCCTCCCCCTTCCTCCCCCGGGGTGTGGGGGAGTGAGGAGGTGCTGGAAGGCAGGGACAGGCTCCCAGTCCTGAGTTGTGCGCTGCTTCCTGCCTGGCGACCTTGCACATGGCCTCCAGCTTTCCTGCCTCAGTTTCCTCCGCTGTGTAATGGGACGATAGTGCCCACCTGGGAGTCATCTGCGGGCTCCGGCCGGTGATGCAGGGCTCGTGCCCAGCACCCATTTGCCGTCCCAGCAGCCTTAGCCGTCAGAGAGAGAAGTGCTGGGAGTTGCTCGAGGGAAAATCAATCCAGCCCCAGATCCACCTCCGGGTTTTCCACGCAGAAAACCAGGCTTTGTCCACCTGTGGGGCTCACTCCCAAGGGCCCGCTCTCCAGAGCAGCATCACGTGGCTCCCTGGACTCAGCTCCAGCTTGGGCTTCACGGAGGGGCCCACCCTTCTGAGGGGCGCCTGGCTCCCCCGAGGAATTCTGGGTCTCACGGAGGCTGTGGTCAGACCCGCCTCATCGTGTACTCTGCCCAGTGAAATGATGGCGGATGCAAAGGCGGATGGGGTCTGTCTAGTCACCGAGCTGCAGAGACACGGACTCCTCCCCTTGGCTACCGAGCACCCCCGGGCCCAGGACCCCCTGCTGGGGGCAGGAGGCAGCGTGGGAGCCACGGACAGGGTCTCGCCCCCGGGAGTTCACCCTTGCGAGGGGAAGAATAAAATACCACACGGACACGTGTTGCATCTCGGGCATGAGACGGTCTGTGAAGGCAGGACATGGTGGGGAAGGAGATGTCACGGGCCAGTTTAAGCCAAAAGGGGGAATGTATGCGCCCCAGTGGCTGGGATGTGCCCATAGGTTCTGGGGTTGATGCAGAACTGCAGGGATTGCGCCCCTCAGCTCTGCCTGTCTGTGTCTCCCGGGGCCGACCTTGATCTTGCCCGCCGGCATGGCCTCCACACGCAGGACCATGGCTTTGGCGGTCTCGGCATCTGCTCGGGCGTCTGTCGCCTGAAGTCCCAGGGAAGGATTCCCGCTGGCACCCGTGGCCCCCTGCTGTTGGGGGGGAGCAGAGGCAGTTAGCAGAGGAGCGGATGGAAGGGTCCCCCCAAGTCTCCAGTCCGCCAGGTCGCTTCCCATGCGGAGCCTGGACGAGCGACAAGCCCAGCCCCGGGCCGGGCCCCCAGCTCTCACAAACCAAGGCTGGGGGGCCGGGTGCCTGGCCAGGTCAGCCTGTTTGGCCTCCGAAAGGCTGTCTGGGAAGTGGGAGCCACTCCCTGAGGGTCCGCTGGGACCAGGTGGCTGAGCAGCCAAGTGGCCACACGCTCGCCTCAGCCTGTTCAGACGCAGGCATTTGCGGGGCTCCAGGTCACTTCCCTGGGAGCTTCCCATAAAGCCATGAGGAGTCTTCACACATGTGCACGTGCGGGTGCTTGTGTGTGTGCATGTGTGTGCACCGTGCATGCGCGTGTGAGGCGTTTCTGCCCAAGGATGCCCCCCTGACCCAGCTGAGAGCCGAGTGCTCTGCCTTGCCAACCTGGCGCTGGCGGCTTCCAGCGGCCGGGCTCACTGCTGTTCTGCACCCGTCCCTCTCCGCCTCTGTCAGCCCCTCCACCGCCGGGTCACAACTGAGCCTCAACACGCCTCTGCCGCGAGCCCTGCAGGGGCCTCGAGGTTCCCAGGAGAGCCTGCAGCTCCCGCTTGGGCAGGGAGCGGGCACAGCCCGGGCAGCTGTCTCCGGACCTGGCCGCCGACCCCTTCGCATCCCTAGTGCGTCCTCACAGCTGCCCCGCAGCCAGCTGGGACGTTCCTCCCTTTGTCCCTTTGGGCAGCCTGCGTGGTCGCCCCTTGGGGTGGAGGCCAGCAGGCAGAGAGGGGTCTGGGAAGCCCACCGCCTGCCCTGAGTGTGGGGTTATTTTGTTTAGAGCCAGGAGACCTGCGCTTTGGTTTACAATCAGCGGTTCTCAACCTGTGGGTCGCGACCCCTGAAAATACATCCTGCCTATCAGATATTTACATGACGATTCATAAGAGTAGCAACATTACAGTTATGGGGTAGCAACGAAAATGATTTTATGGTTGGGGGTCACCACAACATGAGGAGCTGTATGAAAGGGTCGCGGCATGAGGAAGGTTGAGAACCGCTGGAAGCCATGGGCAAGGCTGTTTTGTTGGTGTCATCCTCACCTGAGAGCATTTTTCCCACTGTTTTTCAGAGAGACAGAGGGAGAGAATCATCAATGTTGCCTCCCGCAGGTGCCCTGACTGGGGGCAGGGAGTGAACTGCAACCCAGGTACGTGCCCTTGACTGGGAATTGAACCCAAGACCCTTCAGTGCAAGGGCCATCCTCTAACCACTGGCCCTGGCACTGAGGGGTCTGGGGTGACTGTTCTACTGTTTGAGGTTCCCCATCAGCAGAATGAGACACTGATGAATCAGGGATAGTTGACAGATTGTGGTCTCGGGCGTATCAAACACTTTGCTGGGCCTCAGTTTTCTTATCTCTTAAATGGGAGCAATCCTCCCAATGTGGGCAGGGCTGCGGTGGAGACAGGGAGAGGGGGACCAAGTCCAAAGGCCTTGCTCACCATGCAGCCCACTTGCCTGCTCGGTGACATGCCGATTTGCCCGGGCTCTGCCGGCCCTGCCCTCTGTTGCCTGACCAGGAGAAGCAGCTGGGCTCAGAGCAGCTGGGCAGGGCAGGTTAATTAGGGTGTGGGGCCACCTGCTGGTCAGCCGGGTAAGCATTCAGTAGATGCCTACTGTGTGCCAAAGCTTGAGGAGCTGTGGTCTTGCCTGGGGGCAGGGGGAGACCATAACATCATGATGAACAGCTGCCATTGACTAAGTGCCTACTGTGTGCCGGGAGGGTGCTGGCGCTTTACCTGGATCATCTCAGTCCTCACATTCCCAACTTACACATGGAGAAACTGAGCCCCACGCTCATAGCCACTGCCCTCTCTGCTGCAGGGGGTCAGAGAAAGGAATGCTACTTTCGACTGGGGGCAATCATAGAAGGCTTCCCAGAGGTGGTGACATATAAATTTGAAAGGCAAGCTAGGTTTGGATGGACAAAGATTTGTGAAAAGGGCTTTCCAGCTGCAGTCAGAGCCCCTGTCTGATTGAGCTGCCCGCCTGCGTTTGGGGCCCCTCTTTCTGAAGGTCCCGGGCAGGCCAGGGTCTAGTGGTCTATGCAGCGGAGTTGGCCAGGGCTATGAGGGAGGACAGGCGAGGCAGAGGAGGCTCTGTCCAGTGGTAGCCAGGCAGGTCCAGAGAATCTGTCCTCACAGGGTCCCGAGGGGATCCAGGGACGGTGGGGCACAGGGCTGCTCACTGCACAAGATGAGGGGATGTGCTGGTGGGAGTGTCTTCTGGGGCCGGCCTCCCGGGCTGTGGGCTGGGGAGAGCTAAGCAGATGGGAGTCCTTCTCTAATGACAGGGCCATAGCCAAATGCTGGGGTCTAACCCCAGCAGGTCCAGGGGTCCCCAAAGGTGTGGACGGAGTCGGCGAAGAAGGAATGACATGGAGACAGCGTTCAGTTGATCAGCAGCCTAGCCAGGATCTCTAGCCAAGTTCTGGTCAGGATCTCCAGCGAAGTTCTGGTTAGGATCTCCAGCCAGGTTCTGTGTTCATGTTCTCTTGCTAGGTTCTCCAGCCAGGTTCTCCAGCCAGGTTCTGTAGCCATGTTCCCTCGCTAGGTTCTGTCCAGGTTCTCCAGGTTCTCCAGCCAGGTTCTGTAGCCATGTTCCCTCGCTAGGTTCTGTCCAGGTTCTCCAGGTTCTGTAGCCAGGTTCTGTCTCTAGGTTCTGTGGCTAGTTTCTGTCCAGGATCTTTTGCCATGTTCTCTCGCTAGGTTCTGTCTCTAGGTTCTGTCTCCAGTTTCTGTCCAGGATCTTTTGCCATGTTCTCTCCAGCGAAGTTCTTCTGTCTCTAGGTTCTGTGTCTAGGTTCTGTGTCCTATTGTCTTGTTACATCTGTATTTATACCAGTTGATTCCAATCCTATCAATCTCTATTCCA